GTCATAACCGCAACAGTGACTGTCTCACTGTTGGGTTTCGCGACTGTTTCAAAGTCGGGACGACGTGAGAGTGCATCAGCGACGACATTAAGTCGTCCTGGTTTGTACTCGACCGTAAAGTTGTATTCTGCAAAGAATGACAACCACCGCGCCATTCGTTGTGAAAGGTGCGGGCTGTTCACTGCCGTGCGTAATGACGCATGGTCAGTGTAAACAACGAAGGGTCTATCTCCTAATAGATAGACTCTGAACTTCGCGAGTGCATACTTCATGGCAAGGAGTTCCTTGTCATGCACTGGATAGTTCCGCTCAGCTGGTTGCAGCTGACGCGACTGATAGCAGACGACGCGTTCAACGCCTTCAAGATCGTACTGCATTAATGCACAGCCGATTGCGAAATCGCTGGCATCACAGACCACATGAAATGGCCTGTCCTGATCGGCTATTGCTAGGACTGGGGATTGTATCAAGCTCTGCTTGATACCCTCAAAGGAGCGTTGACATTCAGCGTTCCATAACCACCTCTCGTTCTTTTTCAACAAACGAGAGAGGTGCACAGTCATCTCGGCGTAATTGCGTGAATACTTGTGCAAATGCGCCGCTAGCCCAAGGAATTTTCGAAGGCCTTTGACATCAACTGGCACAGGCCAGTCGGTGATCGCCTTGATCTTTTCGGGGTCAGGACGTACACCGTTCTTACCAACGATGCACCCAAGAAGTGGTATTTCGCTTGCTGCAAATATACACTTCTTGAGGTTTGCATACAATTGATGCTTTCGCATGATTGTAAGGACCTGTCGGACGTGGTATCTGTGAACCTCAACGTCCGACTTTCCATCCATAGCCCGACTATGGATGAATACGTCATCAAAATAACTCGGCGCGAATTCTCGTACTGGTCTCAACAGATGTGATACACATCTGTCGAACGTGGAAGGGGCATTACTAAGCCCTTGTGGCATTACTAGCCATTCCCAGAGCATGCCGCTTGCGGTATAGGGTATATCCCATTCTCGCATAAGGATTTGATAGAAGCCATCCATCAAATCCATGGACGAAAAGATGGTACTCTTTGACATGCCATCAATGATTACGTCCTTCCTCGGTATCGGCGTCTGATCCGGTACCATTGTAGCATTCAACTTGTTAAATGCATGCACTATCCGCCACCTTCCTGTTTCTTTTCGCACACAGAAGGTCGGAGAGCTATGCGGGGAAGTTGATTCCCTCACATGGCCCGCAGCTAAACGATCGGCAAAGAACTTGTCGATCGCAAGCACTTGTTCACGAGGCAGTGGCCACTGCTTCATGACACAGTACTTCGAGCCTGGTTTAAGCTCGACCTCGTGTCGAGTACCTTCATCCTTCGGTAACTCGCACGGAACAGTTTCAGGGAATACATCCTTGAATTCAACCAAATTTTTATAGAGAGGATTTGTCTTGAGCGATTCCCATGATTGGGAGTCATATCGCTCAACCCGTGTCTTTTCATCGAGGACGCTCTCGTCCATAGATGAACTACTGAGAACTCTCTCGTTCTCAGTAAACATTGTTGCTGACCTTATGTCGGTTACACACTCGTCGTCAGCGACGAGTACGCAGATCTGCTTGACTTTGCCACTACGCAGATCACGCAAGAACCTTTTATGTTCGAGCGTTGGCAACTGAGTGATCTCCGAAGTTAACTTCGGAGGCGCAATCAGATCAAGTGTATAAGCGCTTACACTTGATCCGTCATTGACTATGACATTCAATGTCTCTGTCATTTCCTGGGGACTTATTCCCTCAGGCTTCGAAGGACTTATTCCTTCGTCTTCCCGGGGACTTATTCCCGCGGGTTTCGGGGAACTTATTTCCGCCGTATTTGTTTTATCGGGATTTATTCCCTTTACTTCCTCTAGCTGTGGTTGCGCAACCACAGCGAGATCCTCTACGAAAGACTCTCCAGTCGATCTAGGATTATCGTTTCGCTTAACCTGAGCGATCGATTGTTTCTCTTTTAGATGTTCCCCGCTAGGGATACATCTTTGTCCCGGTCCACTCGACTTATTCGAGTGGTGGACCTTCGGCGCAGCCTGTGTTTCCTCACAGCCGCCGGAACTTTGCTCCGAAGTGTAACTGTTTGTTACACTAAGGTTTTGTGCAGTCGTACTAACGACCGTACCACAAGTGAGGCCATCGCACTCACTCGTAGTACATCCACACGCTTGTGGACGCTCCAAAACGTTCATCAGATGGCCATCTGATGAACAAGCGGCAGGCATCGTTACTGTTCGATGTTGCCAGTTTACCCGTGATTCGTACCTTCTGAGCCACGGTATTCCAAGGATGACATCAAATTTGTCATCCAAATCCAATACGATAAAATCATCGTCATATTGGGTGTCTTCTAGCGTATAGTGGATCTTCACTATACGCTTCATGACGGTTACGGATGCGCCTGTCGCAAGACGTACCGTCATCCTCGTAGGAGGTGTGTCACATTCACTGTAATTGAAGTGACCATCTTCTAGCGATTGGCGTCGCACAAAATTGTTGGACGCCCCACAATCGACTAGAGTTCGAAGGGAAAACTTATTTGTCACTTCGAGTTTCAAGGTAATGAGTGAGATCTCATTACCTAGAGCAGCAACGCACAACGTTTGTGCGTTGGGAGCAACCTTCATCAAGAGGCCTACAAATTCTCTTGACGTTGCTGGATCAGTAGGGTGCTCCGCACCTACTGATCCTGTCCGTTTTTTGACGGTCCATCCCGTTGTTGCGTCTTTGCACCAACAGTGGACCCTCGTCCCTGCCCCTTTCTCATGGGTGGACGGTCACTACGCCCAGTGTCGCGAGACACTGGACGAGGGGCACTACGCTCATAAGCGTAGTGTCCTGTCTTTTGACATCTGTTGCATTTCTGCAACTTCTTGTAGCCTGTAGAGCGAGCCTTCTCGCTCTCCACATAGCAGAGTTCCATCGGCTCTGGACCTCCGTTGTCATATCGTCTCGGTTGACGATATGATGTCGAGCTGGCGCGAGCCTGTCTCAGACTGAAGTCTTCCTGCTCCGCAATGGAAATGGCTTGTTCTAGTGAATCTAGTTCAAGCCGGAACAGGTGAGTCTTGACGGGACCATCCGCAAGACCCTGCATGAACACCGAAACCAACGTGTGTTCATCCACTGGATTGGAACTTATACAACTCGTGAGATGTCGTATATGTTGCGCGTAAGCGTGCACATCACGCTTACCCTGCTTGAGCTTCAAGAGTTCGGTTCGAGCTCTGAACTCAGCTCTAGGCGGTTCAAACGTTTGTCTGAGCCGCGACTTGAAGACTTCCAACGACCCAAACGCATATGGGTCGTGCAACTTGAGCCCCAGTGCCCAAGTCTTGGCACGTCCTGCCAGATTTGACTGGGCAAATGCAACTTGCATTTCCCCGTCGTCGATGCGACGCGCCCTTATGGCGTCGTCCAATTCGACGAACCATCTCAAGAGGGAGTCTTCTTCGACCCCCCTATACTTTGAGATGTCAATCTTCAAGATCTCGGGTCGACGCGAATGCATCGACCCACCAGCAGCAGCCTGCTGCTGTCTCAACAGTTCAAACTGTTGAGCACCCTGTTCTCTCAACAACTCTGCTTGTTGAGAACCTTGTTGGTGAAGCAAGGCTACTTTCTCGCGTTCAGCGTCAAGTTCATTTTGAATGAACTTGGCGATAGTAGCATGTTGGGCATCTCTATCGAGAGCCTCTAGCATGACGCTAACAGCATGGATGCCCATGGTCGAACCCATTCGTTCAACCGCTTCCCATTCGACATTGCTCAAATGGGAGTAGCCGTCACGCGTAGCGTGAAAGCTTTGGTCATCTTCATCATCCAACATATTCATGTTGGATGCGATCGTGGTCCTTGGACGGACTACGAAGTGCTACCAGGTGTAACGGGGCACCCTGAAGCTTGTACTGATGACAGTACAAGCTACTTATTCTGATGACAGAATAAGGCGGTGCCTCGTAACTTCACGTACACTCGTACGTGCAGAGGAAGACGGTAAGAAGAAGCGAGTACTCTGTTAGAGTAAAAAGTAGAGCTGTATTTATCATAGTTAATGTCTGCAATAAATCACTATTTATCTTCATCTAACTATGTCTAAATACAAATGTGTAAATCAGTTATCTGCTCACCACTCATTGCGTGCGTCTGTCGTGGCGCGTCTTCGTTGGTTGATATAATGGCCTATATCAACCAATCAGGAACCACTCGTAAGTGCTACAGAATATTTGTCCTTATGACAATATTCTGAGAATATAACTCTTATAGTTATATTCTATTAACAATTTCTTATAAATTGTTATGTAACGATTCACCCCGTTACACTTGGCCTGTTTTGTAACAGCAACAGTGCCGAGGGCTTCGGACAGCGCAGCAGCTTCGTAATCGCTGTCAGAAATATCAGTGCTCACTGTTGTCGGCGCCTCGAACAACTGTACTCCGACGTGAGTAAAGGCACTGGTGCTTGTGCTGGCGCTCTTGATGTAGATGTAAACGAATTCCATTTTACACAAGGAGCTCTTGCAGAAGGTGCAAACGGGTTGCGTCGCTTGCCTGACTGATGTTGTTGCCTGACTGCTGTCGCTCTTGCGTGCGTTTCCCACTCGACGACGGAGCTGTCCCGTGCTGGTGCCGAGCTTGCGGCTTAGCACCACCAGCCGCAGCATCTCCCAACCCGTAGATCGATTATTTACGACTAACGCGTCCAATTTAGTTGTCCAGTGCAAGAAATCCCGGCTTCCGTACTCTTGTTCGCAGTAGGTCTTTGTTGCCCGTTTTAGAGACCAGCACGAGGTCTTCTGCAAGAACACAACCATTCGACGACAAGAGCGCGTCATCTTGCAAGCACTTTGAATACAGAGCACCATCTGCTGGTACGCCCTTCGATGCCAGGTGAAGAATGACTTGGCTCAACCGGCATCTGTGCACATTGTGGCGCTGGTCCATAGCTTCATACAACGCCATCACACGGTATGGCAAAACGCAATCGCAACGAGGTGTTGCTCGTACTTCACAAGTAAACTCTGCAGGTTACTAAACGTTTTGACTGCAAAGAGGGACTTTTCTTGAGCCTCGAGGAGCTCGCACGCGTGTGTGTAGAGCGGCAGCACGTCGTCCACACTAGACCCCTGACTCTCACAGACCTGTGCTCCCTTAACAAGTGCATCAGCAGCTTTCCCAAACTCTCCCATGACCACGTAAACGCCACCAAACTTCTCACAAGCCAGGCGAGCTTCCCCTGTCCGTGACTTCTGGCTGGACATCGTCCGAATGGACCCCTCCAGCTTGTACCTGCAACAAAACCATCTCGGCTACATTCTCCTACGCCTGCGCGGCCGAAACGGCACCTGGTTGTGCTGTTGCACGTCTGCAAAGTGCCAAAACGCGTCTTCACTAGCTTTCCAGTCATTCCCGAGTCGAAAGACTTCCCCCACTTTATTCAGAAGCGGCGCGGCCGAGAGATAGTTGAACGAGCCAGAACGAGCACCTGGTCAGGGCTTTCTCCGCCTGCTTGAGCTGCGCGGCCGCTTCGACGCGCTTTTGCTGCTGCAGCTGAGACATACGAGAGACTTGGAACGACAAGCGAGTGTGTAGCTCCTGGTGGTGGTGGTGGTGGTGGTGGTGGTGGTGGTCTTAGTTGTTGTTTTGTGATGGTTTGTGTCGTATCATAAAAGCGAAGACTCTAATTTTAGGGTGAAAGAATAGAGTTAAAGATGACGATGAAACGGCTTTATTTGTAGACGATGACGACGAGCTGTTTCATGCGTGATTGCTTGCTGTAACTTCCCCACCCCGTTGCAGCGAAAGGTTTCTTTATATAAAAAGAAAACAGGAGGCACCACTCTTTGATGATGCGTAAGACGTTGCAGATAAAGGAACAGATCGATTGATTGATTAAATGAAAATGGAGATTTCATCGACTTGTTCTGGCCTTTCTACTTACTAGGATTAACCGGTAAACCTCTGAGGAAGAATCGCATTCGTTGCTGCCTTTTCCCATCACTGAAAGAGCGTGCCGTGTCCCATCAGTCTTTTCCGTTATGCTGTCATTCTACTACATCGATCTGTCTTTTGATTGGTAGAAATGTGACTGCTCAGATTGAAGACAATATCCGGCGCCCATTTTTGGCCAGTCGAAAACCTGTCAAGTCAAAGAAAGATGGTGCAAGTCGCGTTGCTTTGTGCGATCGTTGGATTACCTCGAAGTACTTTCGTCGTGGATATCGACACAGATAGATCAGTGGCTCACTTGAAGAAAGACATAAAGGATGAGAACACAGTGGATGTCCTGTGTGATGCTAGAGAGCTGCGGCTCTTCCTGGCGAAAAAAGATGGGGCGTGGCTGCGAGACGACGGTGATTTGGACAGACTGATTCAGACACAAGGAATTCTCGATGGGATGGAAGAGATGCGCGCGTCTTGGCGATTAAGAAAGCCCAGTCTGTTTGGTACTGGCGTATTGCTAGGAAAGAAGGTGGTCCACGTGCTGGTGATGCTTCCGCCGACTATGCCTGGTCCGCGAAGTGAGCCAACTACGGTGGGTAATGCTCACAGTGCGAGTCAATTGGTGCTTTCCATGTTCGACAAGTTGAGCCGATTGCTTTGGGAGATATTCAGCCGACTACCTATTCTGCAACGCGATACAATTACTGTGGGTGGTCTCACAATCCCCTTTGCGCCAACAATGTGGAAGGATTCTTCACTGGACAAATTTTGGAAAGTTTTCCGAGAGTGTTATTCTGATGCCGACCTCGCAGCTGGTGCTGTGATCGCGTTGCCGGAAGAAACATTTATTCTTGGTAACGATTTGCTTGGCTCTCATATATACATTCGTCATTGCTATCCACAGTTGTGGAATACTTGCTTGGATACCTTTGAGTGCACACGTCATCTTGTAATTCTTGGCAGCCCGGGAATAGGCGAAACGTATTTCTGCTATCTGATCTTGCTGTATCTTGCACGTGATGGAAAAACAGTGGTTTACGAGACTGGTCGAAGGAAGATGCGTATCTTGTTCAGTGGTGAACTGGTGATTCAAGGATCGCGGTCGGATTTTGATAAAATTCTTGACCTGTGTGAAACATTTTACATTGTGGATGGCATGAAACCACAAGATTACAAGGCGAAGACGATTCTTGTCACGTCGCCACGTCATGAAATCCGGTTCGAGTTTCATAAGTTTGATTGTGGGAGTTTTTACATGCCTGTCTGGACAGAGGAAGAGATTTTTCAATGTCGTGAGCTCATGTATTCGGACAGACCTGTAAACGACGTGAAGGAATGCTTTCGTAAATGGGGTGGCATTGCACGCTACGTCTTGCGCTATGCTACAGACCAGGATCAACAGAAATCGCTCGACGAGGCGATTGGTAAGGTTGATTTGAAGGCGCTGATCAAGTCGCATGGAAAATTAAGCGGGGACGATAAGTTGATATCACACCGGATACTTCACTATCGTGTCAACGACGATTTTACCGAACAGGGATATACATTTGCGTCGGATTACGTGCTTGACATAATTTATCAGCAGTTGTATGAGCACAACAGGGCCAAATTAGTGGCATTCCTTGATGCTTCTCGTGGCTTTGACTTATACGCAGTGATACGTGGACGTGTTTTCGAGCGATACGTGCATTCAGTGCTGCCACAAGGTGGAAACTTTCGAGTCCGGCGTCTGACTGTGGGTCCGAAACATATTACTGCAGGTGTGAACGAGGGTGAGAGGAAGGTTAAACGCGCCGTTGTTGATGAAGATACCAAAACGGTACACTTGCCAAAACTGAAAAATGTTGTTTTCGAGCGAGACGAACAAGTGACCAGTGCAGACTTGGCGACATACCTGCGGCCAAAGGCAAGCAATTTCGAATCCGTGGATGCTATGGCCACGCCCAATATACTCTTCCAAGTGACTTGTGCGCGAGTGCACCCTTGCAAACGTAAAGGGCTCTGCAGGGTTCTGGATTTGCTTGGAAAACCAGCTGAACCACGGTTGTACTTCGTTGTACCGCCCGATATATTCGATGATTTCAGATATCAGGCCTACCAGCATAACGAGAGGAAGAAACAGAAGGATGAGGACAACATTGTGGAGAAGCTGGAGCAATTTGTAATGGAAGTCAGCTACGCCCACGAGATTCCTCGCATAAAGGAAGCGGAAGGCGAAGACCCCATGAAGAAGAAGGTGAAGAAAGTTCAGGACAACGTCACACGTGAAAAGTGCGGACTTGTCAGTGAATGAGCTTATCTGATGCCGCTGATGAGGTCATCGTTTGTGTTGAACGCAGGCGCTGGGTAAGCGTATTCTTCGTATTCGAGTTGCCGCTTGGTAGACGAGGTTATAGATGGCGTTGGTGCACCGTTTAGAAAGATGGGCCAGCACTAGCACCAGTGCACCATCCGTTTTTACGTCAACCACGTCATACCAGCTTTACATGTGGACCAGGATAGCAGGATGTGAAAACAGATGACCAGGATAGCAGGATGTGAAGACAGATGCATGCGGAGTACGAAACTGTTTGTAATAATCAGCTTTTCTGAAGATCTGATCCATAAAAAAACCACTTTTTGCACCGGACAGCATCTGTAACATGTTACCAATTGACGTAAGCTGGACGGTCAGGCCACTTGTCTTGTGCAGAATCCGAGTGTCTGGCAGTGAATTAAATCGTTGTTTGTAACGGTTTGATCCACTGCCAGAAACTCGAATGCTGCACACGAAAAACATACTATTGTATCGTCGGAAGTCATACATTTTAACACCAAAGGCGACGACCTGGACAATTAACACCGTCAGTAGCAAATGCATCATCCTGTCACTAGCGGCTGGTCCACCAATGTCTATTTTGCTTGGCCCGAGGAATAAGCAGTACTTGACATCTTAGGTTACATTGTGATGACTGCATCAGGTGTACGTCTCTGGGTTGGACGCATCTTCAGCGACTGTTTCACACGCAGATGCTACTTAGGACGCGCATATCGATGATGTAAACTGCACGGAGTTAAGTTAGTAAAGTGGCGCTGTGTCAATTGTATGGTAAACATATTCAAACCACCTGAGGGACGCAACCTTAGCGTGTTTGTCATTAAGTGAACATTTGTGTGGCCGGAAGGCGAAGCTGCATAGCATGTCGTCCGGATGTAGGAGGTACAAGTGGTCGATGAAATACGCAAGCTCAAGTGCATAGCTGTGGTGGCTATGGTATGATTGGGTAAAATATGAAGTAGTGAGAGCAGTCAGCGAATGTAGCAGGTTCCTGGTCATTGTGGACACATGGTCACTGCTTTTTTGTTATATTTGTCGCATTGACCGTGCCGTAAGAAAACCCTTACTTTCAAATGTAATTCGTTTGGCACGTACCAAGCGAATTGTGATACCAATAAGGCGTAAACGCGTTACGAGTGTGTGGCATTCACATTGCGTCACTAGAAAGAGTCGAAGCTACTGTGAGCCGGTTGACTGCAATCGAAAAAGCGTAACGTTGCAAGTGAGGTCGAAGTGTAGAGCTCTCCAGGCTTCTGCTTGTGAAGGAAATAGTTGGGGCCAAGCTGAACTTCAGCGAGTCAATGTTCACCGACGTCTTACGAGTGAATGATGTAGTGACAAACTTCATACGACCACTCGGTGGTGTACCGAGCATGCGAGTGTGAAGATGTTACAAGCATCAGATAGGGTAACGTCATAGTCATTGGTTGAAAGTAGACACTAGCCAGGGCGAGATACTAGAACGTCTAGTGGCGCACAAGCTCAGCGAGTACCCGGTGAACAATGTCTTTGGTTTAATCAAACGTCACTGGGGCATACAACAACCAAACTCGGCTGAATACAAAAACACATCGTAACCTGGTTGGCTCCGAGCTATGACCTTCGTTGCTTTATGTGAGATCAAATTCATCGTGCACGGGTGCCTTCAGCGTCGGTTTAAGTTCTTGCACTGGCACCCTAGTCTTGGATGCCGGTGCTGTAGGCGTTCTTAAAGAATCCGACCTCTCACCTACATCAACCCCGGTCGGCTCATCCATGGAAAACTCGAGCAAGTCGGAATCCGGCATGGCAAACTCTAATCGTCATATCCGAAATCCATGCAAGTGCTTGCACGCGCTGCTACAGGCGACGACGAAGAAGCCATGATCGGGGTGATAGCCCAAACGATAAGGACAGGCCAACTGGCTCTGGCGACACGGGTTGCAGACACTGGGAAACCGAAGCCAATCGTGAATGAGTCTTGGCCTGTTTTGTAACAGCAACATGGCCGAGGGCTTCGGACAGCGCAGCAGCTTCGTAATCGCTGTCGGCAAACGTGCTCACTGTTGTCGGCGCCCCGGACGACAGTACTTCGACGTGAGTGAAGACACTGGTGCTTGTACTGGAGCTCTTGATGTAGATGCAAACGAATTCCATTCTGCACAAGGAGCTCTTGCAGAAGGTGCAAACGGGTTGCGTCGCTTGCCTGACTGCTGTTGCTTGCCTGACTGCTGTTGCTTGCCTGACTGCTGTTGCTCTTGCGTGCGTTTCCCACTAAACGACGGAGCTGTCCCGTGCTGGTGTCGAGCTCGCGGCTTAGCACCACCAGCCGCAGCATCTCCCAACCCGTAGATCGATAACTTCGACTAACACGTCCAATTTAGTTGTCCAGAGCAAGGAATCCCGGCTTCCGTACCGTTGCTCGCAGTAGGTCTTTGTTGCCCGTTTTATAGGCCCACACGAGGTCTTCTGCAAAGACACAACCGTTCGACGACAAGAGCGCGTCATCTTGCAAGCACTTTGATACAGAGCGTTGGCTGTAGCCACGTTCCCTGATGCCGGGTAAAGAATGACTTGGCTCAAGCGACTCTTGTGCATATTGTGAGGCTGGTCCATAGCTATATACAACGCCGTCAGACGGTCCAACAACGCAATTGCATCGCGGTATTTCTCATGTTTCACGAGGAAACTCTGCATCTTGCGGAACGTCTCAACTGCAAAGTGGGGCTTGTCTTGGGCCTCGAGAAGCTCGCACGCGTGTGTGTAAAGCGGCAGCACGTCGTCCACACTAGACCCCTGACTCTCACAGGCCTGTCCTCCCTTAACCAGTGCATCAGCAGCTTTCCCAAACTCTCCCATGTCCACGTAAAAGCTACTAGCTTTCTCGAACGCCTGGCGGGCTTCCCCAGTCCGGGACTTCTGGCTGGACATCGTTCGACTGGACCCCTCCGCTTGTACCTGCTGCAGGACCGTCTTGGCTACATTTTCCCACGCCTGAGCAGCCGAAACGGCACTTGGTTGTGCTGTTGCGCGTCTGCAAAGCGCCGAAACGCGTCTTTACTGGCTTCCCAGTCACTGCCGAGTCGAAAGAGTTCCCCCGCTTTGTCCAGCAGCGGCGCAGCCGAGAGGTAGTCGGGCGAGCCGCGGAAGAACGAGCGCCTGGTCAGGGCTTTCTCCGCCTGCTTGAGCTGCGCGGCCGCTTCGACGCGCTTTTGCTGCTGCAGCTGAGACATACGAGAGACTTGGGACGACAAGCGAGTGTGTAGCTCCTGGTGGTGGTGGTCTAGTTGTTGTTTTGTGATGGTTTTGTGTCGTGTTTAAAGCGAGGACTCTAATTTTAGGGTGAAAGGATAGAGTTAAAGATGACGATGAAACGGCTTTATTTGTAGACGATGACGACGAGCTGTTTTTTTGGGTGGTTGTTTGCTGTCGCTACCCCACCTCGTTGCGACGAAAGGTTTCTTTTTATAAAAAGGAAAAACAGGAGGCGCCACTCTTTGATGATGCGCAAGACGTTGCACACAAAGAAAACAGATCGATTGGTTGATTAATTGAATGATTGAAAATGGTGATTTCATCGACTTGTTCTGGCCTTTCTAACTACTGGGATTAACCGGTAAACCCCTGAAAAAGAATCGCATTCCTTGCTGCCTTTTCCCGTCACTGAAAGAGCGTGCCGTGTCCCATCAGTATTTTCCGTTATGCTGTCATTCTACTACATCGATCTGTCTTTTAATTGGTAGAAATGTGACTGCTCATGTTGAAGACAATATCCGGCGTCCATATTAGGCCAGTCGAAAACCTGTCAAGTCGAAGAAAGATGGTGCAAGTCACGTTGTTTTGTGCGATCGTTGGATTACCTCGATGTGTTTCTGCCATCAAAATCGACATGAATGAAGTGGTAGGGATTTTGAAAGATGCCATTAAGGCGAAGAACGCAGTGGATATCTTGTGCGATGCTAGAGAGCTGCGGCTCTTCCTGGCGAAAAAGGATGGGGCGTGGCTGCGAGACGACGGTGAGTTGGACAATTTGATTCAGACCGAAGGATTTCTCGATGGGATGGAGGAGATGCGCGCGTCGTGGCGATTAGGAAAGCCCAGTCTGTTTGGTACCGGCGTATTGCTAGGAAAGAAGGTGGTCCACGTGCTGGTGATGCTTCCGCCGACTATGGCTAGTCTGTTAGGCAAGTCGATTACTGTGGGCGGTGTCACGATTCCCGTCACGTCAACGATGGTGAAGTCACCACGGTTCGATTTCTGGAAAGCTTTTCGAACGATGAATACCCCGGTCGTAGCGGACGCTGTGATCACGTTATCTGAAAAGACATTTATACTTGATAAATCTGAACTTGGCTCCCACATATACGTTCGTCCTTGTTACCCGCACTTATGGGATCTTTGTCGAAGCATTCTTGACGGGAAGACAGGAACTTATAAGCACCTTATCATCCTCGGCACCCCAGGAATTGGCAAGACTTACTTTTGCTTTTTGGTGTTGCTGTATCTCGCACAAGATGGAGCTACGGTGATTTACGAGAGTTCCGAAGTGAAGGGGGAACGTACTCTATTTTCCAGCAATCTGGTGGTCGTAGGATCGAAAACGGATTTTGAAATCTTTCTTAAGCAGCGTAAAACGTTTTACGTCGTGGATGGTGTCAAACCATCACGCGTGAAGGCGAAGACAATGCTTGTAACGTCGCCGCGCAAAAAGGTTTGGTATAAGATTTTTCAACGAAAATGCGCGAGGTTGTTCATGCCAGTGTGGTCAAAGCAAGAGATGTTTAAGTGTCGTGAGCTGTTGTATTCGAATACTCCCGTGGAGATTGTGGAGAAAAGGTATTTGAAATGGGGCGGCGTTGCGCGCTACGTCTTAGAATATGCTGAGGACAAAGCAGTGCAAAAAGTGTTAAAGGAGGCAATTACCAAATCAAATTTGCAGACGATACTCACAGCAAGTGTCGAATCAAACGGGGTGGAGAGTGACGTCTCGCATCGGCTGTTCCACTTTCGAGTCAACCACGAGTTTTGTTACAAGAGTTTGGACTTTGCATCGGTCTACATCGCCCAAAAAGTTTTTGAAATGTTGTACGAACGTGGGAGAAGGGACCTAATCGATTTTCTTGCTGATTCGCTTGAACTTGGCGAAGATGCGGTGAAACGGGGAATTCTATTCGAGCGATTCGCGCTTTCATTGCTGTCGCAAGGGGGGACATTTGAATCTCGGCACTTAAAACCGAAAGATTCTGCTACAGATGGTGACGAAGACGAGTGCAAATCAAAATGCGTCGCTGTTGATAGTGAAGGTGATGTTACGATGTACAAGCGCGCAGAGTCAGAATGAGTTAAATTGCGTCCGCGACAAACTCTTTTTTTCAAGCGAGTTCATGATGTGACTCATTCCGATGTTGGGGAATTTCTCCAGCCTGCCTCACGTAATTTTGAGTCGGTGGATGCGATGGCTAAGCCCGACGAGTTATTTCAGGTTACTTGTGCACAAGTGCACCCCTGTAAACAAAATGGGCTTCTCAAGGCTCTTGAGATGCTTGGAAACCCTGATGAACCGCGGCTATATTTCGTCGTTCCGCCGGATGTATACGAGGGATTTGAATACCAAGAGTATCATACTGTTAAAGGGGGGAAGGCAAAGATCATTGATAAGCGGTTGAAGAAGTTGGAGCAGCATGTTATAAAGATCGACTTTTCTCACAAGATTCGTTTGACAAAGAAAAACGCATTGAGTCGCAGCAGTTCACGTCAAAAAGACGAGGAAATTTCAGGGCAAAGTGGTGCGCCAAAATGTGCGAAATCTGGCAGCTCGTAAACATTTCCCTCACGCCGCGAATAATTACACCTGGTTTGGTTCGGCTGCTGGCACCAGTATCAGATTTTAGGTACGGCATTATAACGGCATTCTGGTGTTATTGATTGTCGCCTCGGCAATATGGTCCACCACCAGCGGCTAGTAGTTTGTTGGTAGTGAGTTGTCACGTCGACAGTGTCGACAACGTCATACATGATTGCGTGTGAAGCAGGTTAGTTATCACCTTCGTAGTAATCAGCTACGCTCAAGAATTAAAAAGAGAAGAAACATACCTTTTGTGTACAACAGCAGTCATTACATGTTGACGTCATGTGAAGCTACGCATCGTCGTGGCGAATTCAAAGTACCGAAGATTATTGATGAATGAACCTTGTATCAAATACGGGGAACAGAAACACACACAGAATGACTAATTAGAAAAAGCAGCAGTGTGTGGCACACCTCTGATCCGTTCAAGATATGTCAATAACCTTTCTGTGCATCTCTTTTGGACCGAAGTCCCCGAGCAACCTCTGCCATTCCACGCAAAGTCTCGATGCCGCAGTATCATATCGATGTCGCTGATTTGTACGCATCTTTAACGACTTTTTGAAACGCAGACGCGACTAGGACTCGTCTACCGACCACAAAAATCGCACGACGGAAAATGCACCAGCAGAATGGCGCTTACATCCTCGCTAGGACTGATCGGCATCTCCCGTATTCACCCACTACCTTGACTGTCTGATCCAGATAGTGTGTCTCATCTCCAGGACCCAGTGTTTTAAAACAAAACCAACCTGCTCGATGGTACGATAATGGCATGGAGGTTTAGCCTGTTGAAGTCGCCCCGCTGGACAACTTAGCTTTGGTGACAATGACGGCTGCGGAGTTTGCCTAGTGCGTAGGACTTTCAAGTCTTCGTAATGGTGTGTGTGGACAACAACATCGGCTGCTTCCCGCCTGCTGTCGGAGACTCGTGACACATGTCGTGCTACTTGAAAAATTGCAGAAAACAATGTGCCTGCAGTGATATCTTATGGATGGACTGGCTCCAGTTATCTTGGCATGCTACTTGACAGCGTAATCTCATTGCATCTGCTTTTTCAATGCAAGCAACCTGGGGATTATCTTAACGGCCCAAAACAGCGTTGCACCGACCACCTTGCTAATTCGCGATAGAATTGGAGATGCTGAACCCTTTCTCCTCAAAGCAAAGACTCTCAAGATCGGCTGCAGATTTTTAAGCCGATACCGGAAAGCGATAGTTACGTCACGGGACAGGTCCAGTTGCATAAAATGTTTCACCCGCAGCAGACTCACGTATCTAGACCCAAGTCCCTGCGTGCTCAGCTGTGGCACTTGTCCGCGCGCATCATCTGCCAATATTTCTCAGCGGTGTCAATTCACGTCTTCAGCGTTCACAAAATTAAATCAAATATAACCCAGATGAATGTCAATCACACCACCAGTTGCGAAACACACGTGATCGACGGTCTTGAACGTGTAGCGGCTCCGTGGCATGTCATCAGCTGACATCCACAAAGCAAGGACGCAACTTTTATGCCAACCTTACGCAGCGCACCACTGATGCTGTACGGTGGCGAACGTACAGAGAGTTTATTCATAAACGAAACCAAAAGCCAGCATCACCCCGTCAGCACCTTCAGACAACACGACCATTAGAAAAACATGTCCAGTCTCGCGCACTCTAGACATGCACAGTCGGATAAGCAATTTGTTGGGCAAGCTGCAGTATATGTACGACAAGGTGAAAGAAGGCGATTTTTTAGCAGTACATCCCTTTAAAAAAATGCTGATCACAAGGAGCAGTTTGTGCGTGCGAGTGTGAGAGAAGGGATACTGGATCAAGATGGAGACGGCTGTCGGTTCACAGCCACTATAATCGTGAGCGGCGCAGTGGGAAACGCGCACATTGCACGGATGTACGTCTCAGTGGAAAAGCTACTGCAGTAGTTATGACTGGTCAAGAAGGACTAGCGCAACGCGGGTCACGTCGTTCACAGCTCATCTACTGGCGAGCCCAAACTTGATGACAATGCCCTCCCCAGTACTGCTGTGCAGTCTACGCGTATATGGTATGAAATGTAGCTGACTAATTAGGTGCAATTAACTGACATTGCCCTCTGTGTAACTTGCCTCGGTGGATGATGTAGATCATAGCTTCAGCCAGTGTTAGATCAGTATCGTGCTTGCAATCTGCAGTGACCTTGGAAAAAAGGTGATGCTTCTGTAGCAGGTGCGCTTACGTGCCTTGCCGCTTGTACTGGTGCATGTGATAGTAACTATTCTATCTACCGAAGCAGTTCTCAGTTACCCCGCGGAGCAACAACATGGAACCTGTCTGAGAATGAAGTTGCTTCGGGTACCAAAATACATTCTCAGACTTGTCGTTGTGTTCGATAGTGATCA